ATCTTTTCCCATGATTCCTTTTTGCTAAGTATAATTGAATATATTTGATTTTATGGAATGACATAACAGGGAGGCAATTACTTAATTTTAATTCTCAACTCTATTTTTCTACCTAAATATTCTTCAAATATTCTTGTAACTAACAGAACCTATGGAAAATAATTCTTAGTATTAAAGAATTTTAGTAGTGCCCCTTGTCCACTTCAATTTCTTCCTGTCTAGTTTTTTCTAAGAGCGATTGTGATCACAACATGCCACAAACAGCCAAGACTTTAGACTGCTAAAATATGATTGAATCCCTCAGGTTTCAATCATGTAATCCTTTAATTATATCTTACACATCTGCCTTGTTGCATCCATTCTTTTGGTTCTGACAGTGCCTTCCCTTGTCCTCTCTGAAGGTACCTCTAGTTTTACGATGGCTGACTGAAGCAGGACACCTCTATTCTGGCCAGACATATCACCCTGCTTCTTTTCAATATATTGGTGCCTTTCCTTCCTCACAGGATCCACCCAGATGGAAACCACAGCCTGGACCTGAATGTTCAGTGGCAACACAGGATCCAAACTTTTGTTCTCTGTGAGAACTCCACTCAGCTCTGAAGACTCAGGATTAATTTCCCTACATCATGATATCAAGAGTCTTCATTTCTCTGTTAGAAATATTTCTTGGTTTCCATCTTCATGGTTGCTAAGCCATGTGCTATTTTATTCTATAGCCTGCAAAACATACCATGGTAGGGGCACTTAAAAATACCAGTACCCACTTTTTCTACATTCTTTTCATTCTAGTAGTAACCAACCCTACTTTTCCACCAAGATTTCTCTTTACAGTATTTCCAAATTCAACAATACATGTTGTCACTAGTCCCCAACAGCAGTATAAATCTCTGTTCTACCAAGATCTTTGGACTAGCTCATATTTTCCCCTAGCTGGGAATATATGGATTCATTGACAATTTAAAAAGATTCCATCTATACTGATATCTGGACCCTATTGCTAACAGATTAGTAATTTATTAATTTATGATGAAGATTATAAGCATCTGGTTAACACATTCTTTCAATTTTATGATATTCATTGATTAACGCCTCAATCTGTAATTACATATTCCCTAGGTTCATAGTGAACTCTACCCTCAGCTTTTATTTATAGCACTACCTAATCATTTTATTCAATTACATTATACAATGTGTTGCTACTAAGCTCTATGTCAAAAATAATCTTAACCTGGAATAGTGGCAATGGCTCAGTGGATTAAGTGACTATTGTTCAAGCATAAGAACCTGAGTACAAATTGGGAGCATGGGGAGAGAGAGGGGGAGTTAGGAGAAAGAGAAGGGGAGAGGAAGAATGAGAGAGCAAGAAGATCAAGTCAGCAGGAGAATAGAGGAGAGCCAGATAAGAGACACCATCATAGAGGGAGCCATTATAGGTTTAAAGAGAAATCTGGCACTAGGGAAATGCCCAGAGGTCTACAAAGTTGACCACAACTAACAATCTAAGCAACAGTGGAGAGACTACCTTAACTGCCCTTCTCCAATAACGAGATTGAAGACTACCTTATATGCCATTCTAGAGCCTTCATCCAGTAGCTGATAAAAGACACCCACAGCTAAACACTGAACTGAACTCTGGAATCCAGTTGAAGAGAGGGAGTAGTGATGAGCAAAGGGGTCAAGACCAGACTGGAGAAACCCACAGAAACTGCTGACCTGAACAAGGGGGAGCTCATGGACCCCAAACTGATAGCTGGGAAACCAGCATAGGACTGCTCCAGACCCCTTGAATGAGGACATCAGTTTGGAGGTCTGGGTAATCTATGGGGCCTCTGGTAGTGGATCAATATTTATCCCTAGTACAAGAATGGACCTTGGGAGCCCATTCCACATATATGGATATTCTCTCAGCCTAGACACACGGGGGAGGGTCTAGGCCCTGCTCCAAATGATATGACAGACTTTAAAGATCCCCCATGGAAGGCCTCACCCTCCATGGAGATGAGATTGGGGTGCAGGGGAAGAGAATAGGAAGAGGGAACTGGGATTGATATGTAAAACAAGCATGTTTCTAATTTATTGGTTTGGTGGGGTTTTTTAGGATTTTTCAAGACAGGGTTTCTCCATATTGCTTTGGAGGTTGTCCTGGAACCTGCTCTGTAGATCAGGCTGGCCTCAAACTCATAGAGATCTGCCTGCCTCTGCCTCCCAAGTGCTGGGATTAAAGGCATGCACCACCAACACCTGGCTTGTTTCTAATTTAATTTTTTTAAAAACTTCAAAAAAAGAAAGAACCTGAGCTCATATCCCCAGTACCCACATAAAAGCTAGGCATGGTATAACACTTCTATGATGGCTAGTGTTGGGTGTAGGCTATTAAAAGGGTTAGCTCAGCCAATTGAGCCAAAGTTGCAAGCTCTAGATCTACTTAGTGACAACTTTGTGTCAAAAAATAAGGTAGAGGCCACAGAGGAAGCCATGGAATAATGACCTCTGGCATCCACATATGTGCACACACAGTCTTTGATCTTAACCTTATTGTAGTGGCTTGAATGAAAATGACCCCAATAGGTTTGTGTATCTGAATACTTGGTCCCCAGTTGGTAAAACTGTTTGAGAAAGGTTAGGAGGCATGGCCTTGCTAAAGGAGATCTGTCCCTGGGGGTGAGCTTTGAGATCTCAAAGGACCCATGCTTTACCTAGTCTACCATTGCCTGTCTGTCTTAAGGTTATGTCTCAATATATGGGATTCCAACTACTCTTCCAGGACCAGCCATGCCTGCCTAACTGCTGCCATGCACCCCAACATGCTGGCCATGAACTCTACTAACCCTCTGTAACTAAATCCTAAACAAATTCTTCTGTTAGTTACCTTGACTATGGTGTCTTGCCTCAGTAATAGGAAAATAACTAAGATATTTTGAAGAGTCCACAAAAGTGGAAATAATGTGCATTTGGGTCTTTAGAAAAGTTTTATAAAGGAGATGACTTTTGAGATTAATTTTGAAGAACATTTAGGATTTGAATAAAAAGAAAAAGATAAAAGAGAATTTCAAGGCAATGAATAGAAGTAACAAAATCAGGAAAGCTAGCCATAAGTGAAGAGCAACAATTAGAGATGTTTGATTGGAGAATGGGATTTGATTAGGAGATCATAGGCAAGTTAGGGTGATACTGGAGACAGCATTGGTTTCCAAGTGGAGGGATTGAGATTTACTCCAGGAGATGATGGGATGTGCAACTCCAACCAACTGTAGTATTCACCCATAGTGAGCAAGTCAGATAAGACTCTACAACCTGATATTCAACTTAGATTAGAAAAAAAATAGTAGATAATAGCTATTGCCTAGAGATGAGGACTTGAAGAATAATGAGAGCAGAATTAGAGAAAGTGAATTACCCATGGTAGTTATTGTGTCATTGAAAAGGCTAATTAACCTGAGGTGAGCTGAGAGGCAAGAGGGTAAATAATAAGAAGCTAGACAAAAAGAATAGGGATAAAGATTATATAGACTTTAGAGGTGAAAAAGAAAATCAAGCAAGCAGAAAGAGAAAAGAATAAGTTTGATATCTTAGAAGCTAAGTAGGTTTGAGTAGTGACTAATAATGGTTGACTTTTAAAATAGTAGCAGAGAAAATAGGGATGAAGGTCATTGGTGCTATAAAATACTTGCCCCCCCCCCCGACTTAATTCCCACACCTAATTCTGTGCCTGGGAATGAGTGCACAAATATGAGTATGATGTATTGATGAGGTCATCAGCAATGACAGACTTTTGGTGTCCAGGGCCTCAGAAGAAAGAGTGGGAAAAAGGAAGATGCAGACATCTCAGTAGTTGTGTATGTCACCAAAAACAGTCATGATGAGAAGTGAGAAAGTTTAGGGTAAGAAAGCATCATGAGTCATTAAGGAAAGGCTGAATGACAATAGTAGAAAACTAGTAAGCTTCAAAGCAAATAGAAAATTTGTGCTTCACTGTCCTGACCTGCAGGACATCAACCTGGGGCAAGAGAGTCAGGGATAGGGAATGGGGACAAGAGACACAGAAAGAACGACCACAAGACAAGATTCTGATAAAGTGGCAAACTTTACTGTTTTCTCAGGCTAGCTTATATAGTCGGCAGAGCAGGATATGGGGAGGGGTAGAATGGTTGTTTGTGAGCCAGGTGTTAGTGTAGGCAGGATATTAGGAAGCCACAAAGAGGATGTTTGGCAGGATAAAGAGTATATGAGTAAGAGGTCCAGGAAGGATTGCCTAGGTAACTGAGCGTGTGGGTGGAGGACTAGGTCAGGTTGTTTCTTTTCTTGAGCTGAGGTACTAAGGAGCTGCTATGTCAAGGTTAACTATGTGGCCTGCCAAGCATGACCTAGGATCTCATGCCAAGCCATGAGATTTGGCTAGCAACACTTCACAACTACCTTTAACCTCTTAGTAATGCCCGGATACTTCATTCCTCCATAATTAATTAATCAAATACAAAAGGACAAATAGACTTTTTAGAGTAACCAAAAATAGAACACAGGCTATTTTCCATAGCTTTAGTAGGTATGCAATTGCCCTGTTCCCATATCCCTTTCTGCAAAGCACAGGGTCATGAGATGGAGAGCCAGCTGCAAAATGGAACAAGGCCTTACTCTTGTTGTCAACCTGACCCCTTGTTCCATCTGTAGGACCTTGTAGCTCTGCAGCTCCCCTCTTCCTAGAAATAAAATCTGGGTCACAGGGGTTAGAACTCTAATGAATAACTTCCATTGTCTAATGAATAACTTCCATTGATTTCCCACCTAGGAGAATCAGCATTCCTTTTCCAACAACAGCTGTGATTATTGGCAGAAAGAAGGAGGAACCTGAGAAGGCTTCTCTCCACCCCTCAACATCATCAAAGGCACATATAAAACCTAAATGCTTGGAGCCTTAAGAGTGTAGTGGGCAGCCATCTTTCTGTCTCCTACTCAAGTAACTGCTGCTGCTGCTGCTGCCATAGCCCTGGACAAAGAGCATGGACAAGATGCTGCTGCTGCTTGGGGTATCTATCCTCCTTTCAGAAGCCTTTGCTCAGACAGGTAAGAAATTTAGGCTACAGTCAGGGAGAGAAATCGATCTTGAGCTATTGTTTCTCTGAATTTGTTGAAACTTACTATATGTCTTACTTTATCTCACAGACCTCACAGGAAAGGTATTTGTGTTCCCCAGAGAGTCTGAAACTGATTATGTGAAGCTGATCCCACATCTGGAAAAACCACTGGAGAACTTCACACTGTGTTTTTGAACCTATACTGACCTTTCCCGCCCTCACAGTCTTTTCTCCTACAATACCAAGGACAAAGACAATGAGCTGCTAATTTATAAGGAAAGAATTGGAGAATACGGATTGTACATTGGAAATTTGGGAGCCATAGTCCGTGGGGTGGAAGAATTTGCTTCTCCAGTGCATTTCTGCACCAGTTGGGAGTCCTCTTCTGGCATTGCTGAATTTTGGGTCAATGGGAAACCTTGGGTAAAAAAGGGTCTGAAGAAGGGGTACACTGTGAAAGCCCAACCCAGTATTATCCTAGGACAGGAGCAGGATAAGTATGGAGGAGGGTTTGATAAGTCCCAGTCCTTTGTAGGGGAGATGGGGGATTTGAACATGTGGGACTCTGTGCTGACCCCAGAAGAAATTAAATCTGTATATGAAGGTTCCTGGCTTAAGCCTAACATTCTGGATTGGCAGGCTCTGGATTATGAAATGAATGGCTATGCAGTCATTAGGCCTCGTGTGTGGGATTAAGATCTTACAACAAAATCTCATGAAAATGAAATGACCAATGTCCAAGAGGTCAAGTCAGCACAACTCAACACTTAATCCTGAATCTGCAGCCTTTTCTCGCTTGTGAACTTCCTGTCTACTTATCTGCCTAATAAAAATATTATCAAGTTCTGCCTGCATTCTTTGCCACTTGATGTAATCTCAAATGCTTTCTTTTAGATTTACTCCTTTTGAAAATTGGTGCTTTGATATCTAGAAAAATTGAGTTGTAAAATGAAGGGATGGAAAATTAACAAAGAGGAAAATGGCAACACTTATAAGCTACTGGTAATCAATTTAATAATAACACAAAATATTGTGGAATTGCAGTAGAAATCCCTCCACTTGTTTATCCAAATACAAGTCAATTAAAAAGCCTGATATAGCTCAAGGGACACAACTATAATAAGACAGGTAAATGACAATTGAGATCTTGACAGCAAATAATGAGATGGGAAATCCAGGATAAGAATGAAAACTAAACATGTATAAGAAACTGAGATTGGTCCTGCGACAGGTGCCCGAGCCTCAGCTGAGTCTGGGCACTGCTCTGCCCCCACAAGCTCCCCATTCAACCCTGCTGGCTTCTGCCTGAACCTCCCCCCCAGAGGAGTGGACCTGGCCAGACTGGAAGGCAAACCCTGAGTTGGGACACACCTCACACCTCTCTATACTCTGCCCTCAGTCCTGCAGTGGGCATCCTAGCCTCAGGTGAGTCTGGGGGCTGCTCTGCCCCCCCAAACTCCACCATCAATCCCTGCTTGCTTCTGCCTGAGCTCACCCGAGCAAGAGTAGACCTGCCCAGACTGGGAAGTCCCACCCTGAGTTCGGACACACCTCACCCTTGTCCACCCACCACCCTCTGCCATCTGGCTGACACCAGAGGCTGAGCCCTCCGCTGGCCACTGGAAAAAGGGAGAGACCCCACCTGCACTCACTGGAAGAAGGGATGGGTCTTAAACTGACCATAAAAAGATACAGGCTAACAGAATGGATACACAGACAAAATCCATCCTGCTGTATGCAAGAAACACACCTCAACTTCAAAGACAGGTGTTACCTCAGAGTAAAGGGTTGGGAAAAGATTTTCCAATCAAATGGGCCCAAGAAACAAACTGGTGTAGCAATCCTAATATCTAACAATTCAGACTTCCAACTAAAATCAATTAAAAGAGATGAAGAAGAGCATTTTATATTCATCAAAGGAAAAGTCCATCAAGATGAAGTCTCAATCCTGAACATCTATGCCCCAAATAGGAAGGCACCCACATTTGTAAAAGAAACATTACAAAAGCTCAAACTACACATAAAACCACACACACTTATAGTAGGAGACTTCAACACCCTGCTTTCACCACTGTACAGGACCACCAAACACAAACTTAAAAAGAAACAAATGATCTAACAGAAGTTATAACCCACCTGGGTTTAACAGGTATCTATAGAGCATTCCAACCAAACACGAAAGAATATACCTTTTTCTCAGCACCACATTGCACCTTCTCTAAAATTGACCACATAGTTGGCAACAAAGCAAACTTCCACAGATACAAAAGAATTGAAATAACCCCCTGTATCTTATCAGATCACCATGCTTTAAAGCTAGAATTCAACAGCAATACAAATTGCAGAAAACCTACAAACTCATGGAAATTGAATAACACCCAATTGCACCATTCCTGGATTGAGGAAGAAATAAAAAAAGAAATTAAAGACTTC